AGAAGGCAGGGTGTGGCTGTTTGACGACATAGTCATCACTCCTGTTTGTGTTGACTTTTGATAAGTGGGAAACACGTGGTCTCTATTTATGTGGTTTCTATGAATCACAGCAGCATTACGTGAAATGTGTCACACCTTAAATAACTTGCTAATGAGTAAGGTTCAAAATTATAGAAAAACTGAATGAGTAATTGTTAGATTAGAACTACTAAACAGTTCTTTTAAAATACTGTAATTTCTTTCAGAATACGGAATTCTCAACATAAGAATGAATTCACATTTAAAGTATGATTTATTCTTATTTTTAAATGACCGACTTTCACTGCGTTTTGAGATGGTTTGTAGATTTATAACTTTTGCAGTGTTGTCAGAACACAGAAAATAATTTGATAACTCAATTTCTTCCTTTAAATAAAGGATGTTGCATCTGGCAAAACAGACATTTGTCTGCTAAGATGCAGCTTCTTACTTTCAGTCTACAGATGGATAGTAACAGGTGATAATAACAGCTAGCATTTGTGAGTGCTTCTCTTGAGTCAGGCAAGTGCTAAGTGTTTCATGCGTATTATCTCATTTAATCCTCACCATAACCTGGTGAGATAGGTACATCTCCATTTCACACATGGGATAACTAAGATGTTACGTAGCTTGTTCAGAATTGCAGGTAGAAAGTGGCAGAGCAGGGCTTTAAACTCAGGCATCCTAGTTCCAGAGCCCCTACTTGGCCTCAACAGGCCACCATTGACATCATGTTGTGACTTAAGGTAAGTAGCTGAGGCAGCCTCTGTAGACCTAATAGTCCTGCTATAAAATTGTGCTTTCTTCTTTTGGTTTTAAACTCATAAAAATTTTTGTTTTGTTTTAGAGGGAGTCTTAGGTGAGTTTACAATTGTATGGTATAAGAGTTGCTAATTAAAAACTTAATTAGATTTTTCGAGTTATTGAGGTTGGAGTAGCTAGTATGTGCAGTACGAATGTTTTATAATGTTCATGAAAATGCCCACAAAACTGGTAAAACATTTAAAGAGAATTTATCTTATACTGAAGTTTAGAGTATTATATTTTTACTCTTTCTCTCTCACACCTACACCCATACACACACACAGTCATTATGTGTTAACACATCTTTTTATCCAGGAAAATTGGATAAAAAGATTAATTGAACATTTTTATTTACTGATATACCTCCTATACCCTTAACAGAGGAGGATTATTTTTGAAGGTGTATTATATGGTAAAATACCCTAATTTAAAAATTTCTAAATAGATTGAAGATAATTTATTTTTCTTAGCCTATAAATACTTTAGAGTCTAATGTAGTTGAGTTACTCTTTTACTGAGTACTTATAAAATGCTGTTGGTTTTTGGTGTCTGTTTCATGTGGGTGGTTCTGTAACTTTCTAGAAAGTTAAATGTTCTGAGCCTCGAATTTCATACTGGTGAAATGGACATAATAGGATTATTAAATTTAAGGATTATGTGGATTGCATAGATAATGAGAAAAATTACCTAGGACAAAAACTGGTGTCAGCTTCTTCTATTCTTTGTTTCTTTAGGTACAGGAGATTTAGTAAATTGACCTAAATCTGATTGGTTTTGACTTCTTTTGAATGTTGTTCTTTTATATTAATAAATTTATATGTAAATTTATTTTTTATAAATATATTTTATAAATTTATATATAAACACCTGTACTCTTTAAAGAATATAAACAAAAGATAATATTAAAAATGAGTGTAATTCTACAACTTAGAAATAATTACTGTTAGTATATTTATTCCATGTTTGCTTATGATACATTCTTAGAGAGTTACAGAAATTGGGATTATACTCCGTGTATTTTTCATAAATTGCTTTTTAAATAATAAGTATTTTTTACAAGTAATAAATCCACTTTTATGACATGAATTTCAATTTTGTGTCATTTTCTGTTTTATGGCTATATCATAATGTAATCAATTTCTTATTGCTGGGCATTCAGGGTATTTGTAATTGTTGCTATTTATTCTACAGAACGCTGTGAAACAGTTCTGTTCTGTGTGCTTGTCCTTTTGTCCTAATATAAATTGCTAGATCCTGCACCCAGGAGAATATGCATATTTAAGACTTCTGATACATATCACAAATTACCTTCTAGAATTGTTGTATCATTTTATATTACCTTCAGTGGTGTACAGGGCATGCCAGATTGCCACGTCCTCAAAATATAAGCTATTATTTAAAACCTTCATTTAGTTTTTATATTGTCTTTTAAAAAAATATACTGTGCAAATGGAATCTGGTCTTTTATCATCATTATTTAGATTTTGGAAAGTACATAAGTACAAGAGTACATCAATATTTGGATATATGAGGGGATCTGAAGTCTACTACACATGATCTGGCCTTTCTGTTGTCTTTTTGGGGGAGATGAACCATCATGGATAGTTGGGTTTTCTGAATAGCTTTGAATATTCCATTTTTCCCACTTTATTAAAGGATATTCTAAATATAACTAACTCAGCCATGTCTATATGATGCGGAGGTGTGTTTCTGAGGATTAATTACTGGAGTATTGTCAGAGTTGTAACTTCAGGGTCAATGCACGTAATGAGGTTTGGGATGTGCTGTTTAACCACCCTCAAGAACTTGATTGCACATTTCAGCCACTACAAACTAATAAGCAGGTGATATTTTCCCTGCTTCAGATGAGCAGATTGGGGTACAGAGAGGTTATGTAACTTGCTTAAGATTGCACAGTTATTAGGTAGTGAATGTGGAATTTGAACTTACTTTGTTTTGGTCAGACTTCAGTTCTTTTTCTATTTTGCTACTTGCTACACACTGCCCTCTTAATTGGCCCTTTCATTGCTGTTGACTGTCATTCTTCACTGCTATCCGATGTCTGCAGGACACAGCCTTTCTTTCTTCTAAATCACTGCTTTGAATCTATATTGATTTGGGAATATAATTGCCAGATTGTAGTGTCAGTGGCTCTGAGGGGCTTTGCTATGACTAGAGAAAATGGGCTTTAACATCTGTGTTGGATGTTTCTGGGCCTATTTCATGCTTTTTGGCTTTGCATAGGAGTTTCCAGATGAATGACATGTTACAACGTTTTCTGTAGCTGAGATCTGCACTCCCCTTGAGTTTGTTTTGGAACAATTTGGGGAAAATTCAAAATAGTTTGCACAGGTTGGTGGGATAATCCAGGGTCCTCTCAGAGTTACTTTCAGAAGAATGTGTCATTCTCTTTGTTTAACTGTGCTTTAAACATTATGTTTTTCTTGTTTTTTAAAATTTATTTATTTTTATTTGAGACGGAGTCTTGCTCTGTCACCCAGGCTGGAGTGCAGTGGCCGCATCTTGGCTCATGCAAGCTCCGCCTCCTGGGTTCACGCCGTTTTCCTGCCTCAGCCTCCAGGGTAGCTGGGACTACAGGCGCCGCCACCACGCCCGCCTAATTTTTTGTATTTTTAGCAGAGATTGGGTTTCACTGTGTTAGCCAGGATGGTCCTGATCTTGTGATCTGCCCTCCTCAGCCTCCCAAAGTGCTGGGATTACAGGTGTGAGCCACTGCGCCCAGCCTAAACATTATGTTTTTCTTATGAGGCTATGGACTCCTTGAGGGAAGAGCTGCCTGCCTTTAAAACATTTTTTTTTTTTTTTTTTTTCCGGTAAATTCCTACCCAGCATTCAGGTAGTGCCTGTAACAGACACTCAGCCTTTGTTTAAGTAAAGCAGCAGTGCAGCCCTTCTGTAGATTAATGCCAAGTACAGGAAGGATCTACCTCTTTCTGTTGCCTCCTGGCCCAGGCTCCTGTCCAAATGTATAGACCAGCTTCTGAGAAACACAACCATTATTTTGTCAGTTAACAGATATCATGTCTAGCTGCAGCAATGTTGGGTACTGTGGAGAGATGCAGAGTGAAGACACACAGGGATTTTAGGGGGACTGTGAAGCTGGCAGCAGTGAGGACAGCTAGCGGATGGTGGTAAAGATCCCTTCATTGAGCCCTGGAGCCAACCTGGGATTTAAGATTAGTGACTTTCCAGTTCAGGATATCAAAAATGTATTTCTTTCTGAAGTGGCAGGTGGAGCAAGGACTACTTCTGCTCTTAGCTGGTGGCTGCATCTCCAGGACAGCTGATGTCACTGCCGTTGGTCCCTGCCCTCCACTCGAGCTGGGACTCAGTCCCGAGGGTTGTTCTTAGAGCAGCTTTTCCCCACTGTGACCTTCATTTTCTCTGCTACTGTTTCCCTTGCGGAATCCCCTTTTCTATCCCAATCACCTCCCGCTTTAGAGAGAAAATCTAGATACTTTTCTAGAGTTTTCACCAACATTATTGGGATGGTAACTGCAGGTGCCTGTTCCTCTGTAATTCCTTAAGTTGGGAATTGTCTGTTTAAAATATTCACCATCTCACCTTTCTTTCTTTTTGTTCTCTGTGCCCAGGATTTAATAGTCTTCTCCCTAGGATGTTTCAATAAATGGTTCTTTACATCAATTAGTACAATTTCATAAATAAGTTTAAGAAGTGTCATGCCCTCTGCTGTTTTGCTTTGTAATGAAATTTAAGGAATATAAAGATGGAATTGAAATGAATGATTTGTGTATTCATTGTAGTTGGTATTGTGAGTTTCTATCTTAAACTGTTTTTATTGACTCTTATTAGAATAGATCACCCATAGGTTTTTAAAAAATATATAAAATATGTTGAAAATTTAGTTTAGCTCTTAAGTTTCATGTATCATCCAATAAAATGATTATATTACCCAAAAACACTCATTGTGATTTGTTCCTGCATATATTTGTCATACTAAAATGGTTAAACTATCTCTTTGTAACATAAAACAAACAGTACATATCACTATAAGGAACAGATTATAGGATATAATGGTTTATGTATGCAAAACCTTCAAGTATAACATTAAATGCATATTAATTAATCTAATACTGAATTTGACTTGTGTGTTATCCCTGCTTAAGAGAAAATTAACACCCAAACCTGTCTTTCAGGCAGTGACAGAGAAGAATTTTGAAACAAAAGATTTTCGAGCCTCTCTAGAAAACGGTGTTCTGCTGTGTGAGTAAGTATTTAAAGTATTTAAAAAATAATTCAAAAGCAAAGATGTGTGTGTGCATGTGTATGTGTTTGTGTGAGTGATGAGGTGTTTGGCTTCTCCCATGGCCACTGTAGTCACACATATGTGTTCTTGGTCACTGGTGAGATTTGATCCCTGCAAATTGATACCTCACAGTACGAGACAGTAGGAAGAAGGGGTTATCAGTCTCTGTATCTAAAGATAGCACTGGTAAAATATATATTATTTTTAATTAGTAAACAAGAAAGATTCTATTGCATGGTGGACCAGTAGGAGGTGGGTGATTGAGAAGGAAACCGTATGACATTTTACCATCGATCTCTTAGTCTGAATATTCTAATGGGTAAAATTGCCTGGTTTAGAAGTTAATACACAAAATCTTTGCTTCCTCAATAAATCATGATGATTGGAGTGGTAGATTTTTCTTTTCAGCTTTAAGTGGAGTCATTACATTACCAAAATCAGTTTGAGTTATGGACCATTCATTCAATGAAGCTACCATTGAGAACAACACCCCAGACTTCACTTACAAAGAAGTAAAATAGGCTAGTACCATGATTGATGGTATAAGGCCTACATTGTATGTGTAGTGTAATATTTTGCTCCCCAATGGATGCATAGCACAGTTAGCCAAGTATGTGACCTGTGGGAATAAGGGAGAGGCAGGCCTGTGAGGCATAAGGATGAAATCCTGGGTGAAGGTAGAGGTTGCAGAAGCCAGCAAATAAATTCTAAGAATGTACTTGAATACTCACCCACATTTTTGAAAGCACTTAACTATTTCAATCTAGACACTTATCGCCCAAGTGTTTGTGCTATCTGTCCACATGTAGGCAGTGAGAGTGTATGCACTAGTACTTAGAGATTTTGATTATCCTTTTGAAGGAGTTGTTTGCAACAAAAGGTCTGGAGTCAAAGGGCCTAGGTTAGATTTCTCACTCCATTACTTTTGGACCTTTGAATAAGTGACTTCACATGTTTGAACATTTGACCAAGTGACTTAACATTTGAGCCTTATTTTCTCATCTGTAAAGTGGAGATCAAGGTACCTGATGTGCCTAATTCAGAGTTGCTGAGTTCAACAATATATATTTTAAGGTTTTTATAAACTATCAAACTTTGTATATGTACAAGTTGTTGCTAGAGGATGGGCAAGTAAATAACAGTCTCTATCTTCTCAGCTCTGTTGGCAGGCGTTCAAACTTCTTTGTGTTAGGGTGATATTATTAATTTGTTCCATATGAAGTTGCTGATATTTAACCATTTGTGACCTACAGGAGTGTCAATTTCATGTGGTTTCACCTAATGTATAGGTGACATGTATAGGACAGACATGTGAATAAGGGCCAGGAATAAAGTTTAAAGTGTATTTCTTGTGATCTTCCAATGTTACATTCATTGGAACATGAATAATGTTTCAGTTAGTTTGACAATGAGTCAAATAGTGTTTAAACTAATTTAAGTAAACCACGTAGCCCAACTGGTCACTAAAGGGAAGTTATTTTATCTTAATCTGAAAACTGTATGATTTAAATGTATTCTAGTAATGTTTAGAAGATGGAGGGTAAACAGTACCTATTAGAAAGAGCTGTGTGACCTGTAAAGTACTTTAGTTGTTATTTAAATGTTTGCAATAAAAAAAAAAGCCATCAACCTTATACCCCACAAGTCTGAATAGGAACTGGGTGGGTTTGTGCCTACAAGGAAGTGTGTCTATGAAGCATGGAATCTTTCTAGATTTACAAAAGCATATATCTCAAATATATGATCTTTTCAAAGAAGTAACTTTGTAGGTTATATATTTCCAGTAATGAACTATTGCCCATAATATTTTAGGGGTCCCACTTTTGGGGCATTGATGCCACACGTAGATCATTAAACATGTTTGATAGTGACACCCAGGTTTTGACTTAAAATACACCTTATGCACCAGCCTGGGCTCTGAATGATTAGAAGTGATTTCCAAAAGCTATCCCGAGCCTGAAAAGATCAGCGTAGTGTGACTAGGGAGGATATTCAGAGTTGATGAAAAACTATTGTGAGCACAGGCAGTACACGTTAGAAGAAATACGTAATTTCTACCTTAATGGCAATAGCAAACATTTGGATGAATGTTTAGAGATATATTCGTTTTTTAAAAAGTCACTTTAATTCTCAGACTTCCAAAGCTCATTCTAATACTGTTTTCTAATTGGAATAACACCAGTTTGGAGTTTTGTGCATTGCCACATAAGTCTAATCAATCTCTTAGTACCCAGTATTCTTTAAATTAACGTTTCCCAAAAGTAGCTTAAGTAAATCTGAAGCCATGGTAATCAGCAATTGTAATTTACTATGGGACACCAAAGTACTGCGTAATATTTTTATTAAAAAATATTTCTGTAAATTGTGAATCACATTGTTGATAGCCACTGGTTAATGACGACACATTCATCTAAAAGCTGTGGTGTTAACGAATAAAAAGTCCAGATAACTATATTTAGTATGAAAGCTGTAACTGAGGAAAGCCTGGCCGGTTCCACTCTGAAATGATTAAGCAGACACTGCTGTTTGTGGCTACATCCACCTGCGTTATATATAATGCCTGAGAGGAAAACAAAGTCAGCTGTTCAGAGGTCTGGTATTACAAGCCCTGACTTTTTAATTAATGGTAAATATAGTAAGCTATCTGTCTTTGAGGATATTTTACCCACTAGAGATCCCAAGTTTTAGCTGAAATATGATTAGGATATTTTTAAAACCTGAATTCATTTTCGTACAGGAAAAGGCTGACTTCTGTCTGGCTCGCTGTCAGAATCATATTTCTTGTGACATACAAGTTCTGCTTGTTGCCTGTTAGAAACCTCTAGGCATTCTCCTTCATTACCACCATTAAATAGTTTTCTTAATATTTAATCCAGTAATCTCAGCAGTTTTTAAAAAATCCATTAGTAGTACTCTTTTCTTTTGAACTGGTGTTCTGAAATATCAAAGTCAAAAGTTCGAATAGCTTATTATAGCTTTCACCCAATTGGAAGTGTACTGACATTTCAGATAGTCTAAGTGGGGATAAACCGTGCACTGTGGTTTCAGACAGGATATACATTTGAGTAATGAGGATAGTTACGTGTGTTCACTGCCTTTTAATCTGATTGACTATTGAAGTTAGTATCTTCATATTAGTTATTTTAGTGTGGTTTAGTTTGACTGTGGCATCTAGTGAGTTGGATAAAGAAAACTCCCTTGATGTAAGTCTAGGACTGTAGTCTCTCTTGGTTTTACTAAACAGTGAGATGGGAACACTGTCTGATATTTTTGCTTTTCTAATTAATAAAAGGGTTGCAAGTGTTTATAAGGTGATTTTAGCTCCTTGTTATAATGTGCTATGAATTTTATTAGTAGTGTTCATTAATCTGTCTTTCTTCAGTATTTCTTAGTGCTCATGTAGACTGCCTTATTATGTATATTTTACAAATATAAAAGATGTATCACTTGATCAATGTCTATGATCTTGTTTTGCTCTGGGTTCTAGCAGAATTATTCCTCTTTTCTAAACATATTCAGTTGAGACACAAACAGGTAATGATATCAGTAATTTCCCAGTTACTCATCTGATGATAACAATCTTAGAAATATTCAAATGAAAACACTCTTTTTTTTTTTTTTCTCTCTGATGAAGAAGATTTGCTTGACGATAGTCTGATTGGGTGTGTCACTGGTTAGTCAGTCTGTACCTCCCATCCTTGGAATGATCCCAAGTCTCTGCCACAGTCAGCCATGCATCAGAAGTTTATGCCTTTTTGAACACATGACTCACAGTAAGAACACTCTTCCTGGCCAGGCGCCATGGCTCACTCCTGTAATCCCTGAACTTTGGGAGGCCAAGGCGGGCGGATCACGAGGTCAGGAGATTGAGACCATTCTGGCTAACATGGTGAAACCCCGTCTCTACTAAACATACAAAAAATTAGCCGGGTGTGGTGGCGGGCGCCTGTAGTCCCAGCTACTCGGGAGGTTGAGGCAGGAGAATGGCGTGAACCTGGGGGGTGGAGCTTGCAGTGAGCCAAAATTGTACCACTGCACTCCAGCCTGGATGACAGCAAGACTCTGTCTCTAACTAACAAACAAACAAAACAAAACTCTAACTATCACCAAGTCTTCTTTTCCCTTTCTTATAGCTTGGAAAGACAGGAGCAAGATATTCACTCCTATTGGTGTTTCTATTTGTATCAGCCATGTGACCACAACACTATCTGCCAAAAAATACTGTAATAGTTTATTAAAGATATATAGATATACATATTCAATAGAAAAATATATTTTTTTATCTTTACAAATACTACTGTTTGCTGTGGGACACTCAGATTATGATTTTAAGTCATTGGGTAAGATAGAGAACTTTGTCACTTTGTCATTCCAGCCAAGAGAGCTCTATCTTTTTTGTTGGAGTTGGAGATCTCCACCCATACGTGGAGTGCTGGTGACATGGGTAGGCCCCCTGGGGCTTCCATGCAGTGCTCCATGGGAAGCCCAGAGGCTTTCATGTAGTGGGAAAGGCTTTTATTCTTAGAGGTGTTTCTGGTTTTGAATTTCCTGAGGAGGACAGTTGCTTACATACAGCGTTCCAGCATGCCAACACTGTTTATTGACCCTGATCTGTTTTTATAGCCTTTTGAAATTTAGTGAAAACTGTTTTTCTTCATTTTCAAGTAATATAAGCTTTGAAGTTTCCATGTTACATGATAGCCCAGCAATAGGCAAACAATGGTGCAAGGGTTCAAGTTCATAAAAATGAATGTAAAAATTTTAATCTGTTTTAATGGCAGTATTTTATGATTGGCATTTACATGCCTTCTTTTTAAGCATCATGGTTCATTTCACCTGTGATGTAATATCTATATCTAGCAAAAACACGATTTTTTGTTTCAAAGAGTATATCAAGATGAAAGTCAGCTTGGCAAACATCAACTTAAAAATTCACTTCAGTTATGGTAGACACACTCTAA